GCGGGTTCTAGCAGTAGAACCATGGCTATGAGAAGTGTTACTCTTGAAGTTCCTGCCAACCATAGCCTTTTGAGAAAGACTGGTAGAGCTGATGTTTGGCTCGAACCTCTAATCGGTGATATTGAGAAGAAGAAGATGGAGAGCCACAGCTGCCTGACTCTGATTAATGACATAGTTCATTCTACTTTGAAGGTATTTTTCCTTTACCAACAAGTTTTTTGTTTTTGATCTACAAATCCTCATTTCTATGAGTTGTCTTTGTAGGCTAACCTTATTGGTACCGAATTGATGGGAAGAATTTCCCTTCTGGAAAGAAAAACCCGTGAGTTTGAAATATCCATCCATGAGGCCAAGGAAATAGCCAGGGGAGCCCAGCTTGAAGCAACTAATTGGAAAGAACAGTTTGAGAATGCTCAGGGGACCATAGAGGAGTTCCAAGAAAGTAGAAATCACCTGGAGCAGAAAAAGCGTGGTTTGACTTCTGAACTAGCGACTGCCAATGCTTCTTCAAGCCAATTTAAAAGAGATAAAGAGCTTTTGGAGTGCTCAATGTCAGAACAATTATCAAAGGCTAGTGAAGAAGTCAGGGAGCTTAAGGCACTTTTAGCCAAGAAAGAAGAGTATGCAGGAGAATTAGTGCAAAGCTTGACTCAAGCTCAAGCTAACTTACAGACCTCCTCTGACGAGATTCGAGGTTTGAAGAGTTCTCATGCCTCCCTCGAAGCTTCCCTTGATTCCCATTTAGCTGAACATATAATATTGAAGAATGATATTGCTATGTGGGAAAGGGAATATGGACTTCTGGAGGTGAACTTCAACATAGAGGTAAGTTGGGCTTTCTTGAAATCTCGTCGTGATGCTTTGATGGAAGCTGCTCAGGAAAGCTTCGATTTGCAATCTGAATTAGCCAAAGTCTTAGACACTATTGAGAAAAGTCAACAACCCGTTGATACTCCTTCTCCTGCACTTGAAGCTCCTGGAACGGAAGAGCTTTTAAATGAAGAAGTGGCTACTGCAGCAATTGGAGTTGCAATTCCTGCTCCCGAGGGTGAAACTTCTATGACACAGTCCATAGAAGCTGAAGCTCCTGTGACTCTTGCGTCCCTCGGTGATTTCAACATTCCAAGCCCAATTAAAATTGTTCCTGAAAATGAAATTGCAACTTCTGATGTTCCAACCCCTTCAGTGACTAGCTAAAAATGAAATTGCTGTTTTTGTTTTTATAAATTAGTGGTTTTATCCCTTGGCAACTTTAAGGGATCTTTTGACGAAGTCCCCAGTTATCATAATAGGGCATTTGTAAAAACAAATATTTTGCTGACTAAGTTTGTACTTAGTCTTTTATACTAATAAGTTTTTATTTGTACTTCTGTATATTTTATTCTTGCCCATTTATCTAGGGCTTATAGAATAGCTTAGCATTTTTATCCTTTTAAAATGCTTTATGATTCTTCTCATGGATTATCAACATGACGCTTATAAAATAGGGCCGTTTTATTTTATCGACACTTAATGAAGAAGACGTCTCAACTTCATAATGGTGTTATAATACGATGAAAGAAATAGGAATACACACGTTTTGTATGAAACAACTTTGGCAAGTTTTTATTCATGAACTTTAACAAGTGTTTGACTATTACATGTATTACAATACATCTACAACTTTCTCGTAACTGTTTTTCTTGTAACAGATTTGTAAATAACATAAAATAAACAAGGTTTTTCTTCATAACCTGTTTCAGTACATAGTCATGACCCTATCTTTACATATTAAGAAGGGTTTGAGAGGTGACTTTGTTTATGAGTTTGAGAGATGACTCTGTTGTTCTCATGAATGCTGAAGACTTCGTAACTTTTTCTCAACACTTGCCTCTTTGTGGCTGACTTTTGTTCGATACTCGTATCTGTTTCTCTACACATATCTGTTTATAATATGTAGTCCCCCAAGTGT